TTGGCGAATATCGATACAAATCGATTGCACTTTATTACAAAACAAACTAATATTAGCTGGTGCAAGCGTATGTAGAATAGAAATGTATATGTGCGAAGAGAGCAGCAAGATTTATATTTATATATTTTATTTATTTTTATATTTAACAACTGGCTGGCTTCTTTCTTACTTGTTTTGACTAAATTTCAATTAACCGAAAAGATTGACAAAGTAAATATAAACTATTCTCGATTCACTCGACAATCGTTTAGTTTCGCATTTTTCTCTTCGTAATTTTCACTCTAAAACTTTTACTGTTTATCAAGAGTATTTCTGTTGTTTTTCAATCGAATCAAATGTGCGAAAAATAAATAGTCACGCCGCTGGTGACTGGTGACTGGTGACAGTCTCCGCGATGTGTTTTGCTTTGCTGTGCGAAAAGACACCATATGAGACATATGCAAATGGATCTTCGGCGTTCTCTTATCGCATGGATATGGCAAGTCAACTGGGGGAGCTGCATCTCTTTAGTAAGTCAGCTGAATGACAGCTAAATGTGGTTGAAATTAAGACACATTTCTTCTGGCAACTGCGATAGGACAGCAGTCTGTGTGTGTGTGTGTGTGTGTTTGTTTGTGTGTGTGTGTGTTGCTTTGGAGGTGGAGGTGGGAGATGCCTCGACCGCGGGCAAAAAGGCACTTGGCAGGCATCCCATGGACGCCAAGCCAACTCCCACCCATCCATCTATCATCGAGCTGTTTTGCCAGTCTCTCGCTCTTTGCCCCTCACCTTCGCTCTTGTTCTCGCTCTCTCTCTCTCGCTCTGTCTGTCTGTCTCTTCCTTTTGTTCTTACGTTATTCTTAGCGGCAAATTGCATACTTTTAGGTGCGCTGCATTAATTACGCGCCCAAGAAGCCCCAAAAGTGTGGGCGAACAACAAGCGAACGATTGCATAAGCGAAGGCAATGCGAAGAGCAAACCCCGAATGCAAAATCAAATAGCTAAAACGAGAGAGAGAGAGAGAGAGAGAGAGAGAGAGAGAGAGAGAATTCTCGCTGTTTCTGGCACAGCTCGATAGAGTTGTTCAACAGCGAAATAAACCAAACAACAAGAACAACAAAAAGAAAAAGAAAAGAATGAAAAATAAAAGAAACAAGAACAGTTAGCATTCGGCATGGCAACGATTCCATTTGCAATCTAAGCATGATTATTTTCAAATATTTTAGTGCCGATAATCTAAATAATCTTTATGAAATTAATAAAAGTACACACAAAAATATGTTTTTTTTTTTTTACAAAACATACAAATACAAAAAAGGTTCTTCGTACAAGAAATGGAATTCCAATCAGATATTGCCCAAGCCCAATTAACATAACTTTAAAGCTTAGGGACTTGTTTAGACTAAACATGACTCAGCGTTTCATGCTAATCAGGTATTCATATATATGTATAGATGTGTGTTTTTAATCTTTGGAAAAAAACCAAAACAGAACCAATAATCGAGCAATCGATAATGTATCTGTATTTGTACAGTCGTCGACTGTTCTTAAGTGCAAATCTTGAAAGTAGTTGCCAATAATTCGGACAAATAAATATTTAACTCAATATTATGCTTAGATAGACATTTTAGCTGATGACTTTTGACGCCTGATTACAAATATTTGTAGAAAAACAGAAAAACATTTACGTTTAGCAGACAGACTTCCTCCTTAATTATTAGTTAGTGTTCGTTTAGGCAGAGAGGTATCAGATGGTTGCCAATCTTCGAATGTACCGCCTAAAGGTCACAAGACATCTGTTGCCTCCACTCCAGCCTCTCCCCCCTCTCTCTCTCTCTCTCTCACTGTCTCTGCCTCTCTCGACACTCTGTCAGTAGTCAGCCAACAGCAACATCAACAGCAGCTGTTGTTGTTATTGTTGCTGTCAAGCCCCCAACCAACTGACAGCAAAAATTGAAATTAAATCAAATCACAAAATAAAAGGCCAACGCAAAACAAGTTGACAAATGTTTTTAGCCGAGGGTGAAGCAGGGAGCAGGGAGCAGCAGCGGAAAGAAATCCGAAGCTAAGCAAAGCGTGGCAGGCAGGCAAAGAAGCAACAGCTGTCAGCTTAGGCGCTAGCAGAGACACGCCTTCATTTTGCTTTATACATATATACATATATATATAAGTAATATATAAGTAGTATAAGTAGTATATATATATATATATATATGTATATGCATATGTATAGATGATGTGGTTGTTATTTTGGAAAGAGATCTGTTTTATGGGCAAAGCACATGATTATATTAAGACAACAACTTGTGATGATGATAACAACAAAGCGCTGAGAAGCATCTATCTATAAAGCGTACAAATATGTATGTATCTATATACATATATATAAAATTATATATGCATATATATTTAATATGTACATATGCCGGCCATATAATAATAATCAACATCTTTCGCGACTTGACGCCCTCCTTATTTACACTGATAACCTGAACATGCAGTTGTCATGTCATCTTCTTATCACACAAAATCTGAGTGGAAACAACAACAACAATAATACCAACAAGGTGTGCAAGGTATGCATCGAATATACTATAATTTAGCTGACCAACACGAGTAATAGTAATAATAATTGTAGGCGTTGTCTATCGATAATGTGTCTAGACTCCGGAGTCGTAATCCCTTCCCATTTCCTTCCCAGCAGCCCATTGCCCTTATCTGTATCAAAAGTTGTTCAAGTCAAAGATTAACAGGCGCTAATTATACTTAGCGTGAGTTTGCATTAATATAAATCATTTGTAGACTCTTTGAGGTTTACAAAATATTATTTTTATCGAATTTGTTATCATTTAGCATTTAGCAATTCCGGTTCGTCAGAAATGCAGTTCAACCGATATCATTTATCCACATTTATACTAGAACCCATTCGACTCCATATATTCCACAACTCGCATCTTATACTGGAATTAGACTATACCATTAAATAATGTATTTGTACAAACTCTAGTCGATATATATATACATATATATAAGTATATATATTATGGAAGTCTTGTGTGTTTCAGTTCTTTCTCGCTACCCATTTGTATACCCTGAACCCATTAAAAATTGTTGAAAAAGGGTATAATGGTTTTGTGCATATGTATGTAACTGGCAGAAGGAAGCAACTCCGACCCGATAAAGTATATATTTTCTTGATCAGGGTCAACAGCCGAGTCGATATAGCCATGTCCGTCTGTCCGTCTGTTTGTATGAACACGCAGATCTCAGAGACTTTAAGAGCTAGAGACTTCAAATTTTGAATATAGGTTCGCGTATAGCTCGTCTACCAGTCGCAGATCAAGTTTGCTTGAATTGATCCATAACAAATTTCATCAAGATCGTATAAGAGAGACCCAAGTTATAGTCGAAAATATATTCTCATATTGATCTCATTTCCATCAGCAGCAACTTGCAGATCTGCTCACATTTTGGTGCAAAACTTCCAATAAAACTAGAATATATTTAACAGCTGGGTTCAGGGTATATCGTAGTCGAGCGCACTCGACTACATCACTCTTACTTGTTTATATAATAATTTTATTACATTCTCTTTTTTTTCCCGTTTATTTTTGAGACTAATTCCAACGCGCTCGACATTTTAATATCCTGTTTTACTGCCACACTCTGACGTAATTTGCACTATTTAACTAACAGAGTCATATAGTATATCTCATTTAAAGATACTTAACAACATTGCATTCCATATCAGACCACATTGATGTGAAGGGGGCTTTACTATGCAAATGTGCAACTTTATAGGACAGAGTACATACAATATATGTACATATTTATCCAAGTATATATTCTCGTAGTTGAAATATTGTGTAATCTATATACACACATATATATATATATATCTATATATATATGACAGATTGTTAAACAACAACAGAACGTTGAATTACTTTATTATAGAAGCGATGACTTAAGGAAAAAACAAAAGAGAAAATCATCAGCTGGCATAAATCAACCACAACGGCAACATTGTTATTGTCGTCGTCTTATCAATCAGGCAGTCAGTCTGACCAACAACAAAGGCGCAACGATAGCAACAGTGTGTGTGTTGCGAGTGTGGCCTGTTCGCGAAACGGGGCGTGGCACTGAAAAAGGTGGCGGAGACGACGGCGGAGTCGGTTTCGCTTATCAGCTGCCCCAGCAAAACAAAGAACGAGGATTACACAGCGGAACGATTGGAATCGGTACACAATGTTTCCGTTTCAATACATGCATTTATCATTTATCAGAACACCATTTGTACAAAGTGCAAAGTTCAGCAGACGACACTGAAAGGAGTTGCAAATCAAATCCAAGAGAGAACGAGAGAGAGAGAGAGAGAGAGAAAGAGAGATAGACTCGCTTAATCTACCGTTTCGTTTCCATTGTATTTCGTTTATACATACATATAATATATATATATATATATGCATATGAGTAGTAGATTAAGCAGCTGCAGATAATGGACAACAGCCCAGAAATTAACACGAAAAGCTCATTTATTAATACTAATTGATGTATTTCAACAAATCGTTTAGATTTGTTTGGCAATTAATGTTCCAATTCCACTCGTTTATTGAATGGAGCATCCCCTGCCACTATAGACCACATAGTATGTATGTGTGTGTGTGTGTGTGTACAGCTTACCCGATATTACAATTTATAATGAAAAATCTCAGCTTTAAATGGCAGTGGAAATTTTAACACTTACCTAGAAAGAGAAGAGAAACAGAGAGAGGGAGAGAGAGAGATTAGCATAAATGGTTGAAACAATGATAGTGGCTTAAGTAAGAGGAAGTGAATCATTTTTGGATTTTTTTGTAAGCCAAGCAAACTTTGAAAATGCATTGAGATGGATATTTTCTTTTCATAATCAAACTGTAAAACATGGGCCTGTGCTCATAATATTGTATATATATATACCTATATATGGGAATTATATCGATAAATCGATAATAATCGATAGTTGATAAATAGTTATTTACCTAAAATGTGCTTAAATTTTTGCACCACTTTGGTCCAACTAACGCAGGATTGTGTTCTAGCCAATTTAGCAGTCTTTACACTCTCGAGACAATCACCGGCATCTTGATTACCGATTACCGATTCAGCCTCCGCTCCCGTCTCAATATCATCATCATCGTCCACATAGCCCGGATCGGGATCGGTGGCATCGTGTCGATCATTGGAGTAACGTCGACCACATTTCGTTCGACTGCCATCGTAATGATTATCATGACTGTGACTGCGAACACGCATCTTCACCAGACTCACATCGGGATCATCATCATCATCAGCAGCAGCAGCAGCATCATCAGCAGAACCAACAGCGGCCTGATGATCTGGATCCGATAGCTGTTTGTTAATCGTTAAACGATTTCTATCACAGTGATTGTTGCTTGTTGTTGTTGTTGTTATTGTTGCTGTTGCTGTTGGTTGCTCTTTGGTGTCATCAAGGCCGCTGGCCGCCAAATTGGAGGCCACCGTTGTGTTGCGCTTCTTGCGCTGCTCCTCGCGCTCCCGTTTGATCAACGCCTTCTGCTGCTTGGCCTGGCGTTGTTTCTGTTTGCGTGCGAATTTCTCGCGCAGCTTTGGGCTACCAAACTCATCCAAATAATACATGGTGTCCTGGAGGCCATCCTTGCGATTGATCAGCTTCGCATCGATATGCGGATCCTCGCTAATCTTTAACAGCGGAAAATAGATGCGTCCATCGGTGCCCAAATTTCGGATATCTCGTCGCTTGGCAGCCGCTGCGGCGACAGTTAATGGCGCCAGCTCCAATGGCAGCTCCTCCTCAGCCTTCACCTGGGCGGCCTGGGCAGCAAGCAAACGTTGTTGCTCCTCATCCACATGGCTGGTAATGTTGATCACAATGCCCGATTGAGTATCATCCTCGTCGACATCGACAGCAACGCCATCATCCTCCTCGTCCTCTTCTTCATCATCGACATCGACATCATCGTCGTCGTCGTCGTGGTGATGGTGCTGTTGATGTTGGTCCTCGTCAAGATCATCCTGATCAATGTCCACCTCGTCGATGCGATCCTCCACATCAAAGCCCTGCGTGCCACCCGTACTATTCGTACTTTTGTATTTCACGTGACGCAGCCCATTGGCGTTGACGCAACTGCCGCTGCCATTGCCACTGCCACTGCCACTGCCACTGCCACCGCCGACGCCCACGCTGCTCAGCTCGAGCGCTGAGGCGGCACGTGTGCGTCCGCGTCCATTAGCAGCAGCTGCAGCAGCAATTGAAGCCACCTGTTCGTTTCCGCTGCTGCTGCCGAGGGATTCGCTGCTGCTGTTCGATTGGGCGCCGCCCGCACCGCTGGAGACGCCTCCATCGCCGTCGCCGTCGACATCGCCATCGCCGTCGACATCGCCGCCGACTCTCTGCTCAATTCCGCTATCCTGACTGAGCAGCAGCAGCTGTTGCTGCTGTTGTTGTTGCTGCTGTCGCTGCCATTTGGGCAGCGGGCCGTGCAGACTGAGGGAGCCGCTGCTGCTGCGCACCGGCGGCAGCTGTTGCAACTGCAGCAGTGTCTGCTGCGATCCGCTGCCACTGCTGCCGCTGCAGAGCTGCTTCTGTGAGGCGCTCGTCACGATGCAGCCACTGTCCGCTGAGCCCGTTGATGTTTGCGTCGAGAACCGCTCGCTCAATGGTATTTTAATTGGTTCACTTATAATGATGATGTTGTTGTTGTTGCTGTTATTGTTGTTGTTGTTGTTGTTATTATTGTTATTATTATTGTTGCAGTTGCTGCTGCTGCTGCTGATGTTGGCCGGTGCCGCCAGCACGGCTGCTGCAACTTTAGTTGTTGCTGTTGTTGCCATCAGGTGTTGTTTCAATTGTTTCTGCAGTTTCTACAACTATTTTGTCACTGTTCTTTGCTGCTTTTCACTTGGCGTTGTCCTTGTGGCTATTTATCTTGCTTTCCTTCGGTTTCTTGTTGTGTGTTCTATATCAAAATAATGTTTGTTTCTTTTACTCTCTTTTCTTCTCTGTTTTCGGTTTCGTTTTCGTTTTCTGCTCTCATTCACTTTCTTCGGTTGCACTGACAACTTTTATTGCTTCAGAGTCACATTGCCTGCTCAAGTAAAATTGCATTTGCATACAAATTATTATTTATTTTATTATTTATTTTTTTAACCATTTTTTGTTGCTTTGTTTTTACTGTTGTAGCTGTATAAACATTATTTTTATTTTTATTTTATTTTTTTCATTTTTTTTTTGCATTTCCTTTACTTTATTTATCTTTTTCGTTTGCCGCTATTTTTAGCAACAGGCGAGCAAAACACAAATTCATTTTAGAAGAATGAAAAAAACAAAAAAAAATGTATATTTTCGTGTTAAAAATATAAATAGACGAAATATTTTCTTCTTAGGCGACTTTCGCTTGCCTGCGCCAAGCAATAAAAACAAAACACATTTAAAAAAAAAGAGGCAAATTTCTACACATACGCACTTGATGAAAACCAAACTGTTGCCCAAAAGAATGTTTTTTTTTTTGTTGTTCTTTTATAAATAAACAGCAAATTGTATTTTGTTTTCTCTGTTATATTTTGCGCTAAGCGCACAGTTTGTGTGTGTGTAAATTGTTGTTATTGCAAAGAATTTGTTATTCTCGCATACACATGGATGTGCGTGCGAGCGCTGTTGAGGTCGCGATTGAACTAAAACTGAAACTGAAACAGAAACAGAAACTGAAATTCAATTTCCAAATTATCAACATAGCGACGTCGCTGCTAACGCTGACGCTGGCGCCGCCTGACGCACATCAAACGCACACTACGCCAACGACGACGACGACGAAGACGATGAGACGACAGCAGTCGCAACGGGCGGCAATGAAACAAGAGAGCAGCAAAAAATATACAAAAACACAACAACAGTTGCCAGAGCCCATAAGCAAGAGCGCCAGCACACAAAAGCACACACACGCAAAAAGCGAAAGTCATTCACTACGCTCAAATGCGCGAAACGTGGAATGAAACAAACTTCTTTCTTTTGCTGCTGCTGCTGCTGCTTCCGCTGCAGTTCAGACAGTGGGAAATTCAATAAACATACAACACATTACTGCTGCTGGCGTCCCTCCTCCCACTCTAATCTTATCACGTCACAAGCCGCCATAATCTAAGCTAATCAGTTTAAATATATATATATATTTATATATATCATCTGCCTAAGCAATGTGATTATTTACAATTGCATTAAATGTGTTAAATCAAGCAGTTTGTGCGGCAGCAAGGAAGGAGTTGCGAGAACAACACCACACGCATATAAACACACACACACACACTGTATGTGTAGCTAGGGTTCGGAGCTTTTAAACTAATTAAATATGTACATAAAGTGAAATAAGTAAATAAAAAAGAGCAACAACAACAACAAAAAGGTTTAGCCATAAGGTAAATGTGTAGTTTGCACGTTGCGATACTCAACTCAAAAAATAAAAAGTGTGCGAACAGTGGAAAATTTTTGAATTGCCTTCAACGCGCGTGCGCCACTCGCTGCTGTTGTTCTTGCTGTTGCTGTTATTATTTATATTGTTCCAGTTCCAATGAACTTGGCGCAAAGCATGTGAAATAAAAGAAGAAAAAAAATTAAAAACCACAAAAAAGCATTGTTGACTATGGACACACGAGTGGGATACGACTCAAGTGGGTGTGAGTTCAAGGAAACAAACCCTTATGACAACAGCCTGACTACTACTTGGGGGCTGGGTGGGTGAGTGATTTGGTGTCGTCCGTCGTTACGAAATGAAATGGAACGAAAACAGTTTGACATTCAAGACGGACAAGCAAGTGTCCCATGCCCCACTCCCCTTTCCCCATTTCCACTCCCCTTTCCCCATTCCCACTCCCTTACCTCTTCCCATTCCCATTCCAACCATATTTCCACAGTCAAACAGAGCCACAACAATGATAAATACAATGGTATTTAGTATATTAACTAAAATGGTTTCCAATTTCAGTTTAGAGTTGAGTTTACACAGTGAAAAAAACAATTAAGGATTCTATAGTCCAGCTTAACCGACTCCGGCATACTCTTTCAACAGTCCTTATATAACTACAACTACAACTAAAGTTGGTTAATTCTAGCTCTTGAATTGTGGGAGTTGGGGCCAAGAACTGGGTATACCAAGCAGAAGGTTCAAATTAAATGGAATATCGTCTATCCATAATCACATTTCTCATCAAATTACATTATTATTATAAAGTGTTCGAATCGATTTAGTCATGCCTGCCTGTATGAAGGAGCCGATCTCATTCCACAACTGGTGACATTTGACTGTTGACGCGATGAAAATTCGATTACGTACAGTTTTCACTCTCTCTACACCAGCGGTAATCCACGTAAGAAACAAGTGCGCATTTTATAGGGCCTCTACTATAAAGTATACTACATATTTGTTTTTTATCGAGTTGACATTGAGTGTGAGCTGTCGTAGTCGTAGTAGCTGTTATTCCCATTAGGCATGTAAGCTAGATGTCAACCCTGTCAACCCTGTGTAGCGCCTTTTTATTTATTAAACATAAATTGTGCGCTTAAGTCAAGTAAGCAACAGCAACAGCAACAGCAACAATAACGATGAGAATGTTACCAATGAGTTTCCCTATTCTTGGAACCTTCACAAGCCCCAACAGCTCACCAACACACACACACACACACACCCTGTTATTAGGGGAGGGGGCACCCGCCAATGAAAAAGGGCTGCTTCAATTTACATGGCAAATGAGTTAAGTTTAATTTAGTAACTTTGTTGTTGCTGTTGTTGTTGCTCTGTCGCCGGACTTGAACTTGCATGTCGATAATTTCTACGGCAAATTGCCACACGTGTAGAGCACAATACAACAATACAACAATACAACAACGGCAGCAACAACAATACACACACACACACACACATTGTTTAACGGGAAAAGTGTAAAAGGTGTCAGGGTATAAATAGTATCAACCTGAGCCAAGGGTTGTTCCTACTTTTGTTCTTGTTGTTGTTTGTTTTTCGTTATTCATATATTGATTGTTAAGAAAGGCTACAATTAATTGAGACTTGGCTTTATATTATATACTGTATATATGCAGCAGTTGTGGTAGAAAAACACTTGACATTTAACTTTCACAAGGCTATTACAATTGTGACCCTTCTTTTTCTATGTACTGCGGTACCGAAGGTATAAATCGATAGCACAGCTGGTCATCATACATAATATACAACAATACAATAATTTCTACTGTTGTGGACATAGATTTACCAAAATGTGCTTTACAAATCAAGTTAGAGACTGCTCTGGATGCAAGTACCCATTATCAAAGCGTACGAGTGGGGGAGGGAACTACCATTGAATATTTAACAAGAGGGAACCAACATAACCTACCATTCCACTACGGAAGTTAGTACTGTCAATGGGTACCCACTATCAGGTACGGCACCTAAATGTGGGTAGCCTACCAATGGCTACCAAAATGGATACGCAGGAGACAACTACCAGTGGGGAACTACAAATGGGTACCCCCCAGCAGGCGGGTCTTTAGCGGGACTTTTATTGCTTACTAAAATGACTAAATATGATTTAATAGTTATCAATGTTATTTCAGTATTTACCCCAACATCATTCAGTTGTAAGTTCTATGTTGAAAAAAGTTTTCTTCTCCTCAGCTTGTTGTTGCTGCAGTTGTTTGTGGATTTTTAAATGCTTGGCATTTCTGTCTGTGGTTGGACAACAACCAGTTTGCTCCAGCTCGTTATTATCTATTGACAGTTCCCGGTTAGTGCAATTAGCTGTGCGCATGGACAGGCGGACAGACGGACAGCAACAGGTGGGTCTACTTAGATATGTATATGTGACAAGTGAATCTATGTCGGTGAGGTGGGGGTGGGGGTGGTGGTGGTGGGTGTAGGTGAGGTGAGGGGTCCAAATGGGTCTCCACACACTGATCGATTCTGTCAAATGTGGCTAATTGGTTTTAAATGCCCAACGCCCCCGTCAATTATTGCAATTATTGATTGTAGGTATTCACAAAGAGCTTTGCTGTTGCTGTTCGTTCGGCGGTCATTAGGCGATATGAAATGGGAAATGGGAAATGGTGAGGAGTGTGACAGACAGCCCAACCCAACCCAACCCAACAATTAACATTCTGCATTCGCCGAGCTGCTAATTCACTCATCATTTTTGTATGATTATTTTTCTGCTTAGTTTTCCTTTTGTTGTTATTTTCAAGTCTTTGGCAAATACTCGGTGGGGTGGTCTAAGCACTCAACCAAAATCTCTTGTGGCGTCCTCGTGCTTTCCTTTGTTGTTGTTGTTATACTTCTTCTTCTTCTTTCACAAATTAAATGCAAATATACATAGATGTGTGTCTATGTGTGTGTGTGTATACGTATATGCACATTTTGTCTCTCTTCTTTCTTTTTTTGTTAACTTTCCGTTTTCCGTTACCTTTTACTTTCATTATTTTATGCTGCTGCTATTTGCCATTGTTGTTCCTATTCCTACCAACAGATGGCGTCGCAGCGCTGGGGGAGCATGACTCGACAAGACTCGACCACACTGGACGAGTCTCATTCACAATGTACATTAATTTGACTTTAGATTTTTGAACAGGAGCTATTCCATTTCTTGAATTTACAGAAAAATCTCATCCGTTTTTTGTTATATACAATTTCAAAATTCCATTTTCAAATTCAATTCTTGCTATTTTATGCTATATTTCAGATAATATATACATGCGGAAATTAGATCATCGTTAAAATTGATAATGGTAACGAGACTTGTTAAGCTCTTAGCTCAGATATTAATCCAAGAATATATTTTTGGATTTAACAGCAGTTTATTTCATTTTTTGATAGATGATACGGATTATGATTGAGGCAATTGCCAAACAACAACAAACGAACTGTGAACTGTGGAACTGAGTGCGTCATCATTTAGTGCTGCCTAAGCAGTTAAGCTCTGGATACCAAAAAGGATATCTGATGATGACAATATGGTGTTAAGTAATTGCTTTCAACGGCAAACAACTCACACACAGACAATACAACGGAACACAGCAGAACAGCTAACCAGACTAAACCAGAGTTAACTA